CCTTCTCAATTGTGGCACAAAGAATGTAGTACAATTTCCATTTCCATGGATATTTATTACAAAGCTGATCACTTGTCATAATGTTTGCATGTATATATATACAACTAAATAATATCTAATCAAGTACAATGTGGATGGATTAATTGGCCAATCATTTGGAGTTACTCCTCAGGCGCCAAAATTAAATGTGAATTTTTCAGCCATAGTTCTGCTCTATAATTACAGGTTACTACATCAGATTTATTATTTTGGTTGCAACCAAATTATATTGATAAAGAAATCTATGCTATTTCTCATCTGTAAGTGTTGCACTGCTGATGTATTTATCACATTCTATAAAGGAATTATTGCAAAAAATATATATAGGGATATCATTCACCATTCATATTTGTAAATTTGAACTTGAGAAAAAATCCTCTCATACTATATTTTTAATGTTAAGCATTCAAATGTTTTGAATTTTCCTTAGAAAATGCCATATGTTAAAATGATAAAGAATCTCTGGCTTTACATGAGTGCTAAATTTACCAGTTTGAGAGGGGATGAACAGTTAAAGTTCACATAAATTTTATGAGAGTATAAAATATTCTTTATAAATTGGGCCAATTGTTACACACGTATTCCAATGTAGGTCAAGTAATCAGTGATATTTTGGGGAAAATATGCTTAACATCTTTTATTTTTAAATCTTCATATAAATCCATCCAATCTCATTCCAACAGATGGTAAAAGACTTTTTCAATAATTCATGCTGTATTTTTTTTTAAAAAAAAATCCCATTTGATCTTTCATTGAACAATTCAAAGGTTCCATGAAAGATTCTAATAGTGCCAACCTGAACTAAGCAGTTTAAGCAATCTGATGACTTCTCAATATCTTTATAATTAATGAATTTATTTAGCTGAAAGGAAAAAAAATGAAAGGGAAAAATATTCACTTTCAATTTATCTTGGCCTGTTGTAGCTTGAATGAAAGATATAGCCAATCTGGTAATATTTTTGCTTTTTAAATCATTTTGGTCCATTAGGGAAGAACAATGCAATGTAATTGTTATGAAGTACCAAAACAATGACGTAAATTAATGCACTGAAAAATATTTGAGGTCAATAGCATGCAGGAGGGACTTTTATTTCTACTTACCGTAAATAACTGTCGGAAAGGCCATTTCCTTCCTTCGTGATAATTGGCAAGTGGGTAATTCTGTTCACGTTGCCCTTTATGCTTTGTTCTTGAATTTTGGGGAAATGTTTCATTCTGTTCAGGCAATCTTTATATGAATTATGTTATAATTATACAAATGACATATATGTAGTAGAGTGTTTTTAAGCAATCCCAGAAAACTTTGGCTATTTGGTGGATAATAAATACAATAAACAAAAAGGATCTTCTGCACATTTGTTTGGCTGGTTTGGTGTAGTGGTTAAGGTGCTAGCCTAAAAACCGGGTGACTGTGAATTCTAGTCTTGCATTAGGCATGAAAGCCAGTCTTGGGCTTTCATGAAGACTTGGGCCAGTCACACGCTCTCAGCCCAACCCATCTCACAGGGTTGTTGTGGGGAAAAAAGAGGAGGAAAGAGTATTATGTATATTCACTGTTTGAGTTACTTATAAAATAATAAAGGTGGGATAAAAATAAAATAAAATAAAATACATTTGGCTGTTCTACCCTCCACTTCTCACAATCAAAGACTGGCATGTTTAAAGCTAATGGGATAGATCTAGTAAAATCCAGGATAGCTAGAGTTTTTTTTCTCCATTACTGACATGAAATTGCTTTGTGAGCATTGTTTTGTGTGTAAAGGCAAGCAAAACTAACAGCAGACTTTCTCCAGATTGTTATGGTGGGTTATTCATGGTTTTAATTCTCAATTAGCCCTTTTGTTAGGCAAAATGTTATTTATTTTCCAGGACAATTTTTAAGTGTCCTGGGTAACCTGGTACAATTACCTAAAGAGAAAAGTTTTTTTGTTGAAAAATAGCATGAGTGAACTCTTATTGTTATTTTTCAGCAAGAAAACTTTTTATAATAATCAGTTTTTCCAGTTTCAGTTAGGAAAACCATTATAGTATCCAACTGAGGTTTTTTGTTTTTTTTTAAAAAACTTGGGTTTATGTACAAATTACTGTAGATTTTTTGGGGGAGTTTTGGCAATAGGTTGTAATATACAGGATGAACCAGGTTTGCTAAAATTCAAATGGATACAATTGTGCAACATGTTTAAGCTTTGCGGGTTTTTTTTTTAGAGAAACTAAGCATGTTGTATGAACATATGCCACAATCCTGTTTGGCTAGTATACAATTCAATGGATTGTGTGTGCCCACAAAATGGGATAATCTACCAAGAAAATGAATCATATGAATTTGGCCGTTGTAGGTTGTTTGAGGCTCTATAGATCTAAAGCAGGGATTCTTCTCTGGAATTTATGGATAGATTTTCAGGCAGGGAATGGGAAAACAATTACAACTTTATTTTTACTAACCTCTAAGTCAAATGTAGCATTTCACTCAAAAATTAAGTTTTCTTACTGAGACCAAATAAAAGCTTAACCCTGAAATGTTTTTTTAAAAATAAAATTTAATTGGAACTTGCTTGTCTTTTAAACATAATTATTGCTTTGCTACTGATTTAAGGTATTAAAGAAGTACATGTATTACTATATTACATATAAGTTACATTTTAATAATTTGATAACTATTGGAGAACAATTTGTTTCCTGTTGCAATACAATCTATATCAATACAATTTATGCCTTTAAATTTCTCTCCAGAGTTATTTGCTTGTTATTTCCAAAGAAAATCTACATGTAGCAATAGGACCACCATTTTAAATTACAAAATGTAATTTTAATTACAAATGCTTATTTTCAAATACCAAGTTAAGTTCCAGTTGCCTTAGGTTATAATGTGCATTTTATCAGGCAGCAAATCATATTAGTTTATACAAACGTATCACAGATTATATTCTTAGATTTGTTTCCTGAAACAAGATGCCTTGACCTTTTGTGAAACAGGTAGCACTTCCAGCCAAGACTAAATGGTCTGGGATGCTTTGTCCCAACCCATTTAGCAAGAGATTCCAGTTCAGAGCCAGAACTATTGCTATATAGTGGCCATCTTGGCTTCTGTTACATAGAGGATGTGTTAGGAGGCCTCAAACAAATTTAGGCGGGGTGATGCAGGAAGACAGTCTGAGGGACGCTTCAATAACATTTATTTTATTCCAAGTAGAAAAGTCATAGCTAACAGCAGTCAGGACACATGGAATGGAACAATAGTAATGCATTGTGTTTAAATGTTCCAGTGAAGAAACATAAATGCAAAAACCATAAACTATTTTGGATTTTGTTCATATGCACGTTACAGCACACCAGTTCATTCTTGGTTTCTCTTGATCACAGAAGATACTTCAGTAGCCAGAAATGCATTAGGAGGGGTGAGAATAAGGATAGATTTCAACCAGACTCTCAAACAAACTAGGATCTGTTAAGTACATTTCAAATGCCAGAATATATTTTAAATGACTAATTAGGACTTTCAGCTCAGAGATAATTAACAATAGTGAAAACATTTTCTATTATCGGAAGAAACAGAGCACAATAAAATATTGGAGACGGGGTGTGTCAAATATTTGCTTCTTATATTTTAAGGCATTCTGTCAGATTCAGGTTTAGTACTTTGTGAAAATGTGGTTCATATATGCACACTTATAGAATACTTAACATCTATTATGGTCTTTAGTGAAATTAATATTATTGATGAAATTTGCCAAACTCTGAAAATATATGCATTGTTTAATACATGGCCTAGTAATTTTTTTCTTTAAAAAAAATATCTAGAAAGATATCTCTCCTCTCTAATCATTCTTTACTAAGTTTCTCTATAAGAAGACTAATGGGTTTTGGAAAAAGATTGATGAGTAAATGGCAGACTTTTGAAATAATGTAATGTTGTGGGTTGTTTAGTTATAATTCTCCTTCAATTTATCAGTACTTTGTTATCACGTGAAAAGTTAGGAAATTAGGTCTAACAGTGTTCAGAATTTATTCATTTTTATATATTTTACATCTTCTATATACTGAATTCACTGGAATTCTCAAGAAGAAAATTTTGTAACAAGGGAAGACCACATATGCTTTGCCAGGCAGGATAACAGTGATACAATCTGCTACTATCCAAAGGTTATATTTGCAAATGATGGTAAATGGATATTCTAAGAAAAAAAATGAGAGGCTGTATAACATCTAGTGGCTTGCCAAAACAAAATGATGCCTGTTCATTTCAAACAGACAGCATTCCCTTTTGTCTTCAGTCCTTCTTCCTGTCACTCCCATTTCCAACTCTTAAATCATGGAACAAACGAAATGTGTGCACTTATCCCAAAGGCAGAATATGGTGCTTTGAATTCTATACCACGGAGACACAGATCAGCATTCAATGAATTCTGAACTGTTTACCAGGAATAAACATAAAAATAATCCTTGTAATTTACAAGATTATGTACTATCAAAAGTTAAGCAGGGTGGCATTATTTAGATGGAAAGGTCTGAGTCCAGTCCCATCTTCAGCTTCACCCTGAATATTCTTAGGACAGCATTTACCCAAGTCAAAGACACCACATCTTATATAAGGTAATGTAATTACATAATGTGACCGTTTTACTGAACTGGGCTTTCAGTCTAAATTCTATACAAAATGAATATATTACTGTGCAAAGCTGTTGCTTTTAGAGAATACCTCATATGGCTCAAGAAATTCAGGAAAGCACGTTACAAGTTTGTACATCAGCATTTAAGAGAGAAAGACTAGACCAGGGGTAGGCAACCTTGGCTCTTTTATATCTCATGGACTTCAACTCCCAGGCAACCTTGGCTCTTTTATATCTCATGGACTTCAACTCCCAGGCAACCTTGGCTCTTTTATATCTCATGGACTTCAACTCCCAGGAGTTCTGGGAGTTGAAGTCCACGAGTCATAAAAGAGCCAAGGTTGCCTACCCCTGGACTCGACAGTGCTTTTAAGGAAAAGTGAAGCATTTTCCCACCAAGGACAACATCATTAGTCGCTAAATGAAGATTCACTATCAGAACTTTCTCCTGCATTTGTCTCATCTCCCCATGCAGGCACTGGAGCATCTGGCGTTCTGAAACAAAAAGGCAAGATATGTGAGCTTTTATATCCTCAGGCCTTCGGAACCTAGAAAAGTGGCTTCATGTACAGTAGTGGCCAAAATTGGGGAAACCTTTTGGGAAAAGTGTATTTTTGAGGTTTGATGGCTAATAACACCACTTTTTTTTTTGTAGTAGTACCATAAAATTATATATCAATGGAAAGATAATGTAATCAAGAATGTAATGCAACAAAGTTTGTTCAATTGTCTGTACTGTATTCTATGAAAAGTTATAGCCAAATAACCAGAAAAAGGAAGCACAACTTGCTTAGGTTGGTATCAAGTAGCTTTCCTTCATCTGATTGTAGCCAATGAGCATGAGTATTTAGAGAGCCAATCAGATGTCATCTTGTTTTGGCAATGAGCCAATCAGATCACAGTAGGATTCAGTTATTAATGTCAGGTATTGAAGCTGAGAGGAGGACATTTGTCAGTGTGTTATGTGATTGCTATTAAGTTGGTTGGGTTTTTTGTGTTCTTTCATTTAGTGAGCTTGTAAAACATAATAAAATTAAAGTAATGGTGCAAAGAGTTGACTAGTTGCCCAGAAAGCAATGTAAAATAGTATTATTAAGTGAACAAGGCTACAGTTATAAAGAAATTAGAAGAAAAAATGGTGGAAACTTAACCAAAGGTGGCATTTCTACTGTACACTTTTCCCAAAAGGTTTCCACAATTTTGGCCACTACTCTAGGTGCAAAAATGACTTCTGGACCTGAGAAATTGGATAACAGCCTGGGTTCATACAATATGTTAAGTGCTATTTATAAATTACATTATAAATGTAGTTATACTGTACATCAGGGGGTCCCCAACCCCTGAACCGTGACTCACTACTGGGCTGTGGCCTATTTGGAATTGGGCCAGGTGAGTGGCTGGCTAGAATACATGTGTGTGTGCACACAGCTCAAATTGCATGAGTATGTCCACCGGCCCATTGCTCACATGGCCCAGTTCCCCTTTCCCCTCCCAGCCAGGCCACCAAACAGCAAAGGTTGGGGAATGTTGCTGTACATAACAAATTTAAAAAAACAAGCCTAATTAAAGCCAAACAAATAACATTATGATCCAGCATATTGTGTGAACCAGGTCACCACCTACCTACAATCATCAACTGTATGAAATTAATTAATAAAATGCTCACTAGGCAAGAAAAGCATCTGTAGTAGAGGTATGCCATAAACATATGGCAATACAGTGGAGGGAAGTATTATATAAAAGTTTTTTCTCTGGATGTAAAATCCAGGAAGGCTAGATAACTGGTATTGTGAAATGGCTTAAATAAGCAAATTGGAAGATGCCAAGTTCACATCTTGCTTAGTTTAGGTCAACTTTCAGTTGACTTCACAATTCTGCAATAAGGAGGTAACACTGGTTGATTTCATAGAGCTGTTGGCAGGCTCACCGAGCCTTCCAAGAACACTTCATAAATTCAAACTACTATGCCTATTTCCACATAATTCAAGAGAATATTTCTCAACCAGTTGGGCACACTGTACAACTTTTGTTCTTCTGAGGACTGTATCATCTCAGGAGAAATCTTGGGAATTGGGAAAATACATGCAAATATCAGCTCCATTTAGGTTCCATGTAAATAGTGTTTAAGCAAAACAGATATTGCTACTTACTCAAGAAGATCCGGGTTTAATCCTTCAGAAATCATCTTGTTTCTTATTGCCATAACAGGAACACCCTAGGGAAGAAAAAAAAAAGACAGCGAGAAGCTTAGAACATAGGAGCTCTTCTCCAAACATAAGCATCAATAAAAACTTTTAAGAAAGAAGGCCTGGATACAATTAACGATGACAAATTTTATTTTGATTGATTTATAGCAGGGGTGTCAAACTCAATTTCATTGAGGGCCGTATCAGCATTGCGGTTGCCCTTGGGGGGCCGGGTGGGTGTGGCCAGGATGGATGTAGCCTACTGGATGGGCGTGGATGGAGTGGGTATGGCCTACTGGGTGGGCATGGCCAGCTCTATATCGTTCGCGTCAAGGGTGCCTGTGGGGGCCTGGGCAGGAGTGGGACAGATCTGAGGGTCTCTGGCAGAAGGGGGTGGGACCGGGGCAAGCGCCAAGGCATGGTCCATTTCTTCATTCCTCACAAAGGGTGACACCTCCCCAGCATGCACCCAGAGGGTGGGGCCAACACAGCAGGGGCTGGTTCCTCGCTGTTTCTAGATGGCCTTATGGAGCTAAGACTGAATGCGTTTCAGCATAGATGGCCACCACAAAATTGTACATTGGCTCCCGGCCAGCCTGGGCCAGGGCCAAGGCAGCGGGGGCCGTTCCCTCACTGTTTCCAGGATGGCTTCGTGGGCCACATGAAACCACTTCGCAGGCCACATCTGGCCCCCAGGCCTTGTGTCTGACATGTCTGACTTATAGGCATCCTGTCCAACCTGTTGCTTATGCTGCTAGAGTTTAATGGCAGCTATGATGGAACCCAGTCATACAAAAAAAGGGATATACTTTTCCATTTAAAAACAATTCTGAACAATTTATTCCAGGATCCATAAGGACAGACTAGCCTTAAATTTAAAAAAAAATCCCAGTATGATAGACATTGGATACATTCAAGTAAATCTTTCAAGAAGCTCAGTACTGCTTTTCAGGCACTACTTATATCTGTTGCATGGGCCAAAATTAAGTATCACTGTAAAAGCAGCTGGAATTTGGCAAGATGATCACAGAAATGAAGCCAAGGTAAATCAAACAGCTAATGCAGAAAGGACAGTACGAAATGGCCACGCTGCAAATAAGTAATAGAACAAAATTCAACCCAATTTCTTCCCAAGATCCTACCATCATTTCAACCTTTTTAAATAGTCTTAGGGATCTGAAAGCCACCAGGTTAGACGAGATGAAAGGATCACTTAATCCATCATTTTAGTGGCACAATGCAAATCAGAATACTACTTGTATTCCCAAGCATCATGAAGCAGTATTTTTATTTATCTAAGATATATTTACAGCAAATGAACAATATTGTTTATTTCACCATGAGACATGGTTCAAAGGTACCATTTAAAAAAAAACCCACAGAACTTTATTTTCCAAATGATGTGACAATACAATAGAAGCCATGCCATCACTGGAACCAGTTTGATTGTGTAAGCAGCAGTAGCAAGATTCCAGGCAGGGATGACCTGACAGAATAATCTTGTGTTCCATAGCTGAAATGCACCTATACTAGAAGACACATAGTGGAACTATCCTTCCCAATACAGTTGGCTAGTTGCAGTTGGTAGGAAAAAATTCTAGCTTCTCATTAAATCATAAATTTAAATCAGAGGTCTCCAACCTTTCTCAGTTGGCGGACTGGAGACAAAGGGGGAAAGAAGCATTTTACGTGAGCGTGCATGCACGCACACAAACGGACACGAGCACATGCAATACAAATGGGGCAGTGCTAGCGCTCACGTGACACTCGCTAGCACCACGCCGGTTTTCCTGCTTGGACGCTAGCATCATCCCATTTTCGTGCTAGCGGCTCCCGGTTTTCGCACCACTTGCCTCCCGGTTTTCACACCGCCTGCCACCCGGTATTTACACTGCCCACCGCCCGGTTTTTGCATTGCCTACCACCTGGTTTTTGCACCGTGCGCCTCCTGGTTTTCAAACCGCCTGCTTTCATGCTGTGCACTGCCTGGTTCCCCGTTTCTGTGCCGTGTGCCACCTAGTTTTCACACTGCGCACTGCCCTGTTTGCATAGCAGCGGCAGCAGTAGCATGAGTGGGGGTTAGTGCACGCACACGTGTGCGCACTGGCCAGCCTGTTCCACAGCCCAGTGGCCAATAGGCCACAGCCGGTAGTGGGCTGCAGACCGCAGGTTGGAGACCTCTGATTTAGATGACAATCTAGACCATGCTTGTGTTTGTATTTATGTGAAGGTTACACATTATCACTACTGTATCCTTTCATGTTACAGAGGTAAACTCTACCAGCTGAATACAAAGATATAACTTGTATCAATGATAGTATATAACAGTGGTGGCGAACCTATGGCATGGGTGCCAGAGGTGGCACTCAGAGCCCTCTCTGTGGGCACACACGCTGTCGCCCCAGTCCTAGGCCTTCAGCTGGGTTTTATAAAGCCTTTTCGCTTTAGGCCTCCGCCGCCGTGTACAAAAAAAATAGATTCAATCAATCAGTCAATTTCAACTTCTCGTGGGAAAAAAAAGATCTTGCAAAGTTGGAATTGATTGATTGAACTTTTTAGTCCCACCCAGTCTGCCGTTACCACCGTAGCCACACCCACCCAGTGGGCCACACCCACTCGGCACCCAACGATGCATAAGTGGGTTTTGGGTTGCAGTTTAGGCACTCGGTCTCTAAAAGGTTCGCCATCACTGGTATATAATGTTCAACTATTCTCAACAATTACTTTCATTAATTTTACAGCATATTTTATCTCAAAGAAATTTTGATAAGCTACTTTTATTTAGCTTTCCCATACAATTTCTTAAGAAAATGATGCTCAACTCAGAAAGGCCTATCTGAATTCTAGCAGCACAACATCCATCCATGGGAACAATATGAAGTCAAAGATCTCTGCTAGAGATGTTCCAAGAGAAGTTATTTCCATGTTTCTGCTGACAAAGTTCAAATAGAACATTCCTTTGACAAGAAAGAAAGAAAGAAAGAAAGAAAGAAAGAAAGAAAGAAAGAAAGAAAGAAAGAAAGAAAGAAAGTCTTATTTCCAAAATATATTGGAGGTCTGAAAAGGATGTAAGAAACCTTGATTTTGGTTGGTTTTGGCATGGAACCCAAGTACTTTGGGCCAACGTAAGTACAATATTTTACAAAGAAGGGAGTAAAAACTTACTGTTCAGAAAAGTTTCTCTGTACTGGTGTCACTGAGGAAAGCAATAGAGTGGTCAAGACTAATAACGGCAATAGCCATGCTGATGTGATGATTAATATTTTCCCTTGCATATCTGTATTTGGAGCTTTTCGCCCTAATATAAAACTAGCTATCTCCAATAAAAACAATTAAACTCAGCAGTTTAAGAGTGGGAATTTACAGAGTTGTCATTATGGTTAGCACACATTTTTTTTATGACTAGGAGTCACCATTTGCCATATGGAAAATGTAACCTGAAATACAAAGACTAAATTGTGTTGGTGGCAGTGCTCTGTTATTCAGAACCTCTTTCTTACGTCTTACAAATGGAAAATGTTACATGATATTATTATGTAAATATTTTCCATTTGTAAACAGTACACAATTTTTACTGGGGAAGAGAATCACAAATCTAAAGCTGAAAATTCCCCACAAAATTGTAAAAGGAAAGAACTTTAAAGAAAATTGTCATTTCAGAATTCTCCAGTGAAGTGTATGTTGTTAAACAGATATCTCAAGTTATACCACCATGGAAATAACCATGGAAAAAATGGTTTATTAATAAGGTCAACATAACTTTTTGAAGCAGGAGGCCTTACAAGGATTTCTTGGCATAGTTAAATAAGACATGTATAAAATCGAGTATTTTAATATGTTTTAATTATGCATATATACAAATACTTTCAAAACCAAACAGATGGCTCCAGAATTGGAAACTATCAGTGTTCATTCCATTGCCAAAAAAAGGGTGACTCCAAGGATTGCTCCAGTTACTGCACAACTGCCATCATCCTACCAAGCTAGCAAGATTTTCTTTAAGATCACACAACAATGTCTGGCACCAACCATTAAAAGGGAATTAACAGGTGTTCAAGCTGCCTTCAGAAGGGGTTGTAGAACTCATACCCATGTTGCAAATCTACATTGGATCATGGGAATGCCTCAAGAATATTAAAAGAATATCTATAATCTGCTTTATTGACTATAAGAAAGCCTTTGATTGTGTTGATAATGACAAGTTGAGGGTCCTAACTGGTCAAATTGCAGCAGTTGCTGTACACAAATCAGGAAGCTACTGTGCAAACAACATATGGAGATACAAACTGATTCAAGATATAGCAAGGAGGGTGGCAATATGCTGATGACACAACACTCCTCTCAGAAACCAAAGAAGCCCTGAATCTGATCAAAATGATTAAAGAAGAAAGCAAGAAATTTGGCTTCTTCCTGAACATCAAAATGTCCAATATCAAACGCCTATTGCAAGGAATGGAAATGTCAAAATAATTGACAACGAAGAGATCAAATGTGTTAATCCCAGAAACTGTCAAGGATAATATGAAGGATGGAATGGGTAAGATGAAACACCAAATGTTATTTACTTGCCAATAATTTTATCAAACAGAGATATAATGCTAACATGACTGATAATTAAATAAAAAAGGAATTGTATCACATGACTAATGTACAAAAATTATATTCTAATCTAGGCCTTACTTAAAGGTTAGTTTAAGATTTATGAAACAGGTGGAGACACTGTTCCAAATGAAAGGTCATTTACTTCCAGACCTACCTTTACACAGAGAACCACTGTATTCTGTATCAATTTAAAAATGGAAAGTTCTGTTTCCTAAGGCTCTGTGATGACTTGGTTACTGCTACAGAGAGCTCTTCTGTTTTTACTCTGAAGTTTACACCAAACATGTGAACTGATCGCACCCATCTTGATAACAGCTCCACATGAATATCTGCCATTACCAACATTGCTTCAAACTTTTTACTGGAACTACAGTAAAACCAATTCTTTGCTTATTAAATTAGAATCAGATTCATTTCTCAGTGGTCAAACTATTAGAGCTCTCCTTGCTTTGAAAAAGATTCAGAAGCACTTGGGACCTCATATGAGCATTTCTTTGCTTCATACTGAATGCCCACAAATAGCAGCATTTTTTTTTCCAGGCTCATTCAGAAGCCTGAAAAGACTCAGAATTTTTTTAGCAAATTAATACTAGGATTGTATGAAGTCCAGAGCATTTCTTCCAAATCATTATCAAAATATGGACCTGACAACTGTGCCAAGAAAAGTCGTAAAATGGGGCAAAACTCACTTAACAAATGTTTCGCTTAACAGAAATGTTTGGCTCAATTGTGGTCATTAAGTTGAGGACTACCTGTATTTGAAATAGGTCAATATTTATTATATTTGCTACCCCAAATGCAGAGGAAAAGGTGTAAGACAATAAGGGGGCCTGGTAGAATATCCTAACAATCCTTCTAAATGTGAAAGGTTTGCATTGAAATCTGATCCAATGGGAGCTGTTGGATACACGCATCCCATTTAAGCAGCCAGTTCTATTTTAATTTCAGGAAGGCTACACACTGTGGTCCAAAAATAAATAGTTAAAAAATAAGAGCAATTTGTATTGCACCAAGGTAAAAAAGCATAGCTTCAGAAAATATGTAAAGATTTATTTCTCTGAGATTCTCCATTGAGGAAAATATGTTTATGTCACACACACACAATACACACAAATACAAATACAAACCCATTTGCTCCACTGAACAACTCTGGCCTCCTTTATATCATCATGTATATCCGGGAAAAGTACAATCACAAAGACTTACATTTCCCTGTGATTTTTACCACTACCGAAAGAGCTGTAATACTATATTGCATTTCAAGATTATGCAATGCTTCAAAAGCAAAAGATGTTTCAGAGTCCATGGTGCCTTCACAAGCCTACAACATGTTAAATCAAATGTCATTTTTTTTCTCCCAGGACTGCACCATGGCTGTAGGGCAGTGTTTCTCAACCTTGACAATTTTAAGGCATGTGGACTTCAACTCCCAGAATTCCACAGCCAGCAATGCTGGCTGTGGAATTCTGGGAGTTGAAGTCCACATGCCTTAAAATTGTCAAGGTTGAGAAACACTGCTGTAGGGGGTAGCTGTGTGCTTCCAGGAAAACTGTACAGAGTGGCAAAGCAGGATGCCATGTGCATCATCACTATTGGAATGAAGTTTGGGACTTTGGAAATACATGTCAACCCTTCCGGAAAAAATTGCTTTGTCATCATATCCTACTTGGGAGAATGCCGTGGCAATACTGAAAAGTTGCAAGCTGTAGCACTAAATGCAAAGGTGACTTACAAACCTCCATTTTTATAACAAACAAAACCATACATTTCTAACCTGCTTTGTGATGAGGTTATGCTCGGATCAGAAGCTAAATCAGGCAAATAAGTAACAGTAGTTGAAGTGGATCTGTAAATCTACAATTATCTACAATATATAAAATTACTTATACAGAATTAGACAAAAAATATGCCTATTTGTTCAATTTAGTTTCACTTTGCCAGGATTACGACTTATTTTCATTTTGAACATTAGTTTATTCAAGTTGAACTCTTGCTCATATTTTGCACACGTTTCGGAATCAGAAGACATTAAAAAGAAAAACGTTGGCTCAGTCAAAGCTTGTCTGTTTCACTAGGAGTTCATTTGTGAGCAAGTAATAGAGTCAAAAGTAAATTATATGTGATAGAATAAATGAAATGCAACTGGTTTTCTGGGACAACCATGGCCAGCACCGATGGGAAGAAAATTAAAGCTAAACTGATTTTTAAGTTGGCTATCACAAATAAACACTGTTGGACTAAAACAATTACAGAAACTATTGGAGAGATTTCTTTATACACTAAACAGGACAGAGTAATTCATGATCATGCATGCAGTATACTGTATATATATTTGCCACATAATGAAAAGGCCATATTTTTAGTAATGACGGATAACTGTGCTTTTGGAACAGCGAGACAAAGAGGGAAATTGTGTCTCAATATTTATGTCTCTAATATTAATTAGTACTGAAAATCAACTTCTATACTAATTTGTATGCTAAAAACTTGTAAAATTCAACCTACATTCACAATTAACTTCAAAAGACAAATTTTAGTTTAAAGGAAGCTTCAGGGAATAGAAACCCAAATGTTTATGATAAAACCTGGTAAAATAAATGTGACTTACCACTTGAACCATTTTGAGGTATCTGGCATAACGTGGATCCTTTGCTACAGTGATGACATTTTCACCAGTTCCATCTGTCCTCTGTTGCCCCAACTCAGGTACACTGGTCTGCAATACAACAAACAGTGCATATCAGTCGTCACATGTCCTTAGACTTTACCATATTTGGACATCACATTAAGTTAATTTTTTTTATAGTTCTACCAGCAACTTGAAGTTGGATTGGTCCTGCTCGGCTCCTCCTGACAGGGCAGCAGTTATACAAACCTGAATAGCAATGCCTATGAATCAAGAATTACTTTTTAAGATAACATTTAGTCAAGCTTAGCTGACTGCAAAAAGCTATGCAGGGTTGGACCTACTTGGGATCTTAGTGCACCCCAAGGCAGTTGGTGACACTGAGAAACTGAAGATGCATCCCAGACAAAGGCAATGGCAAACTACTTTCCCATTGGACTTACTAGGCAAGTGTCTATTAAGTCATCAGAAGTCAAACTGGAATCAAAGGACATTACTCTTTTGAATCTAAAGAGAAGCAAGCCTAAATTTCCAGTTCACACAAAAGGTAGCAAATCAAAGGATGGATATTTCTGGATTATTTGGCTAGTTCCCAAAACCAATGAGAGCAGACAAACAGCTTGCACCAATGATTTGGTTATTTTCAAATAATTCTGATTTTCTTGACTTTTAAATACAGTCATATTGTGCTTTAGAAAAACCAGTTTACCTCCACGTTAGGTGATACATTTGTTGTCTGTGGATCCACCAACGTTTGTGAGACAGAGCCATTCATAACACTGGTGTTTGAGATCTCATCTTCTAGGCCAGGCACAGAAGATAACTGAAGATAGGGCACATCATAGACCAATGATATTTTAAAATTGAGCATACAAACTTTTCATCAGTAATACAGCATCTGATAAACATTTCTCTTCTATCAAAGTTTCAGACTATATAGTTACATGATGCTAGTACTGTCACACTTTACATATGTCCAAATTTTTACCTCCACTTTCCACTAATGAATGTATCTATTTCCTATCTGTTCTCCTTTACTTTTCTTAATACTGAAAAAATATGTGTTCATTTTTGTTTGTAGACAATCATGATCTAAATGAAATCCATCCTCAGTACCCTAAAATTATATATTTATGAATGTTTAAACTACCACATAAAAAGAGATATATCAGGAACAAACCTTTGCATCCAGAATATTGAGCAAAGTCTCAATTTGCTGAATACGGAGGGAAAGTGCTGACAATTTCTGGGAATAAGGAAGAGAAATATTACTCAACAATTTCCTCAATATTGTTTAACTCCTCCACATTTTCCATCCAGTAATACTTAGCTCTTTCCCATCGCCCCAATCCATCTCCCTGAAAAGCAAACTTATTGCTTCGGTCTTTTGGAGACTAATATGAAACATATTGGACAATGAACCTGTAAGTGCTATTATGCAGATGGTTTAAAATAACTGATTACACTATGATGTTCAGCTGATTTAATATACTACTATGCTAATATTCATTCCATTAACAAATAACATGATTGCACATGTTACATATTGACATATGATTATATATATCCTTCTTTATCAAGCTTTGCTAACAAATAATTTTAAGACTAACTAAAAGACACTAACTCAGCAACTGTAATTCAAAGCAGTCAACTCTTGCAGATAGCCCTTATTGATCTATGCATCCCTGAATGCTCTGATTGCACCACAGGACATTTAGAATACCCTTAATTAGCCTTAAAAGGTTTATAGTGATTTATCTAATAGGTTTTAATAGACAATCCCAACAGGCTTCTAGGCAAAATCCTATTGATGGTTTAGTATTCTTTTTAATTAATAACAAGTACAGGTAAGCAATACAATATTTCTGGACAATTTGGAGTTTATAGAGAAACAAAAACCTCAAGATATCACTGAATATGACAAAGTAATGTTAACACATTAAAAGAATGACAAAATTCTAACAAAAAGTCCCCCATATACCTACATTAACTCTCTACACTCTGAAGTTTCCATTTATTTTTCATATCCACAAATAAAAATGTATTGTTTCTCCAAAAAGATTAATATGATGACATGGTGATGAAAAGTGATAAATATCTCTTGTTTAATGCAGTAAAGGATGAAAACCAAGTTTCCAGAAATATTCCCCAAAACATTGCATGCCAAAGCCTAGCAAGCCTACTCTGAATACAGAGACATTTTCATGTTTTCCACTGGCAGATTATTCTTTCTCTCCATTTTTAACCTTTTTATGGTAGAGAATGAGAAATGAAATAGTTTCTGTACCAAGCATGCATTATAGAGAAATGTAGTATACACTGTTGGAAAGTTACAGTATGGCATGTACTACCTCTTCACAAATAGTTGAAAATCGATTCAGGAACTGAACTGTGTGAACCACAAATTGGTTTAGAAACGCCACTGTTCTCTTTTGTTGGATAGCTGGAACCTGCATTACACAAAACATAGAAAAATACAATATTGAAGAGAGATCAATTAATTACATGGAAAAATCACTGCTGTTTTCTTGACAAGATTTTTCACAAGTGGTTTGCCATTGCCTCCTTCCTAGGCCCGAGAGAAATGACTAGCCCAAAGTCACCCAGCTGCCTTTGTGCCCAAGGTGAGACTAGAACTCAGGATCTCCCAGTTTCTAGCCTGATGCCTTAACCCAGTGGTGGCTAACCTATGGCACGTGTGCCAGAGGCGGCACTCAGAGCCTTCTCTGTGGGCACATGCACCATGCCCCGGAGATGGCAACTGTCCCTTTTCAACCAGCCACCTACTAACTCGCTGAGGTCCCACATGGCCAGATGCATCCCAGCACCCATGCGCTTGCTGGCCTCTGTGTACAGGGCCGATGGTGTCAGGCAGCAGCCGCCCCAGCCTGTCTCACCTTGCCCTGTGACAATGGCACCCCCGCCTTGCCTCGCCTCACCCCGCAGGACAAGCCTCCTGCCCACTGCCCCACCTGCCAGACACCCCCTGGATCTCCCCCAACCCTGCCCGGCCCCCACAGGTGTCCCTCCCCACGAGCAACATCAAGGTGATCACGCGCACCTTGGCCACACCCACCCAATCTGCCATGAGCACCACAGCCACGCCCACCCAATGGGCCATGCCCACCTGGCACCCGGTGATAAATAAGTGGGTTTTCGGTTGCATTTTGGGCACTCGGTCTCTAAAAGGTTCGCCATCACTGCCTTAACCACTAGACCAAAATAGCTTTTTTAATGTATCTCAAATATGAAACAAATATAGTATCAAACATTTACATTCAAACTCTGAGATTGGCCAAGTCTTTGAGTGATAATTTATTATTTCAAAGCAATGTTCCATGATGCATAAAAGTATAACTATAACTTATAACTAAGTATATACCAAATGTGCAATTTGTCAATTTTGCAGCAACTGAATAACCATATTCTCTTTTACCAGAACTGCACATGCAAACATGGAAGAGCACAAGAATGAAACAGTCAAAAGTTTAAAAAAATAAAAGTGAATAACTTTTGAATTTAAGCCAAAACTATTTATTAGTGACACTGAATAAATAAGAGTTGTAAACCTCAGATTCTGAAATTGATACAGGAAACATTTTGGAAATATATTAATTTCAAAACACTGTTTTTATAGACTGCTGTTAGAGAAGGAACTAGGCTAAAAATCATATCCTACATCTCTTACTGCTTTTGTAATTAATGAGAAACAATGTAAGGAATTTGTTCATGGTCAAACTGAAAATCCACAGCAGCCACTGACTTTAATCTGGCATGCCTAATATATCCTTTGCAAGAGAAATGATTAATATATAAGCAAAAAAACACATTAACACAAAATTTCCCACGTCATAGCTTTTCTACAGAAATTGGCAACAACCATTTTAAAAAAAAGTAATAAACCATTTATTTCAGTGGTTCTCAACCTTTTTAATGCCGCGACCCCAACCGGTCGTAAGTCGAGGACTAAGCCGGTCGTAAGTTGAGGACTAAACCGGTCGTAAGTCGAGGACTGAACCGGTCGTAAGTTGAGGACTACCCAACCGGTCATAAGTCGAGGACTTTCCCTGCCCGGGAGCACCGCGCATGCGTGGTTCCGCCCCCTGCGCCGGCCGAGGAGTAGCTGGCAAGTGGCAGAGACGGAGCAGGCCGACCACCAGCTGGCCCAGCCCAAGGGAGGTAAGGCACCCACCGGAAAAGGGGAAAAAAATGGCGGACAAAAAAAATGGCGAACAGCTTTGCTTGGCGACCCCCGTGAAATGGTCGATTGACCCCAAATGGGGTCCCGACCCACAGGTTGAGAACCACTGATTTATTTCATTTATTTTTATTAACTCAGTTTTAAAGATCAGTCAACTATACTGACAATACATATTTATTACACTACGCTTAATCAATCAAATTGAATGCCTTATCAAAGATTTTTTCCCCTTGCCATATATGTTGGGATTTCTTTTCTTTCATAGAATCAAACACTAAGATCTTTTCAATGTGAAAATTTTGGAATTTTTTTTAGATTTGTCTATTCAGGGAAAATATTGTGGGCTTTGTTTAATTTAAATTTAAAGCATCATAAAAGAGTTTCAAACATTTTTAAGTTTACCCATTATATTAAGTTTCCTTACCCTGCTTGATTAGCATAAAATACATACCAAATCAATTTAACTGGACAATATGAACTAGTATCTAGCACAGTGTTTCTCAACCTTGACAATTTTAAGGCATGTGGACTTCAACTCCCAGAATTCCACAGCCAGCAATCCTGACTGTGGAATTCTGGGAGTTGAAGTCCACATGCCTTAAAATTGTCAAGGTTGAGAAACACTGATCTAGCATATCTGAAAAGCACTAGATTTGGGAAAGTTGTCTTATACATTTTAGTTATCTATTAAAAACTATATAGCCACCCATCTTATAATCAAGGCTCCCAATTAAAAGTTAAAACATCATAAAAGCCATCTTAAAACTATAAAGACTAAATGCATTAAAAACAAAAACCTGAAGTTAAATCAAATTTCTGAAGTGCAACCACAACTCATTCCAGTACGTGGAAAAAAAAAGTCAGGTCTTCAAAGCTTTATGGAAGACCAGGAGAGTAGAGGCCAACTGAACTTGGGGAGGGGGGTACCATAGGGCAAGGGCTGCCATAGAAGAGGTACACTTTGAGATACCATGAGATAGCAATGTTTAAGGGAAGGGATTAGGACTGTGCCCATCCTATCTGACCTGGCAGAATGGACATATCCTTAGGGAAAGGCACTCACACAGTTAACCTGGCCATATAGGGCTTTAAAGATGATTAGTTCTTTATATTGCACTTGGAAAGAAACTGGAAGCCAGTACAACTTGTGCAACAGAAGTGTTACATGAGCAAACCTAGCCCCCACCCCGTTACTTTGCACACTGCTGCATTCTGGACTAGCTGCAATTTCTGGGTGGTCTTCAAGGGCAACCCCATATAGAGCACATTGCAGTAAACCAAACTGGAGGTGACCAAGGCATGAGTTACCGTGCATATGTTTAATGGAAACTTCTTCCTATTCTAACTTTATTTGAATGTAGGAACACTATGAAAACTCTTGCATCAGCTGTGGTACTGAAAGATTGTAATGTTATTCTCTCTCCTAGTAGGATGGCTCCTTGATTCATGTTCTCAGTGTGTAAACACAATATAATCCTATAAATGCTATGGTATTTTGATTTTTTTTAAAAAAAGTTATAATATAGAGTCACCTTAACAATGAGATTGAAGGCATATAAACAATATAATAAAATAAATGGTTTCAATCTGATTTACAGATGACAGGTATATATAGAGGTAGTCCTTGACTTACAACAGTTCATTTAGTGACCTTTCCAAGTTACAACAGGACTGAAAAAAATGGCTTACGACCATTTTTCACACTTTTACAACCATTTCAGCATCCCCATGGTCATGTGATCAAAATTCACCCTAACTTGGCAACGGACTCATGTTTATGTTTGCAGTGTCTCAGGGTCATGTAATTCCCATTTGCAACCTTCTGACAAGCAAAGTCAATGGGGAAGCTAGATTCACTTAACAGTGTTACTAACTTAATACCTGCAGTGATTCATTTAACAACTGTGGAAGTTGTAAAATGGAGCAAAACTCACTTAACAAATGCAATGTAAACTTTGGGCTCAATTGTGTTCGTACGTCAAGGACTATCTGTATCACCCAGAATCAGAAAAACTGGAGTAGCATCTGAGCCCCATAAAAAATAAATCAATGCATTTACATGTGTATCCATTCAGAAATGACTCAGGGAGGTTTCCTCTCCTGTACCTGGATATATGATTACAGCTAAAATACTGTGAAGAACAACCATCATGACTCTTTGTGTTTGTGGTCTTTTCAACCTTCAGCCTCCATTCAAGGCTGTTACAGATTTTGCTTCATCAGAATTTTTTTGCTTCTGCTTTCCCTGACGGAAATGTTTTTCTGTCACATTTAGAATAGAATAGAATAACAGAGTTGGAAGGGACCTTGGAGGTCTTCTAGTCCAACCCCCTGCTCAGGCAGGAAACCCTATACCAGTGATGGCGAACCTTTTAGAGACCGAGTGCCCAAACTGCCACCCAAAACCCACATGCATCTTTGGGTGCCAGGGGTGTGTGGCCCATTGGTGGGTGTGGCCCATTGGGGGATGTGGCCCATTGGGTGGACGTGGCTGCGGTGGTAATAGCAGACTGGGTGGGACTAAAAAGTTCAATCAATCAATTCCAACTTTGCAAGATCTTTTTTTTTCCTGCGAGAAGTTGAAATTGACTGATTGATTGAACCTTTTTTTTTTGTACACGGCAGCGGAGGCCTAAAGCGAAAAGGTTTTATAAAAACCAGCTGAAGGCCTAGGACTGGGGCGACGGTGCGTGCGCCCACAGAGAGGGCTCTGAGTGCCGCCTCTGGCACCCATGCCATAGGCTCGCCACCACTGCCCTATACCATTCCAGACAAATGGCTGTCCAGTCTCTTCTTAAAAACTTCCAGTGTTGGAGCATTCACAGTTTCTGGAGGCAGGTTGTTCCACTGGTTAATTGTTCTCACTGTCAGGAAATTTCTTAGTTCTAGGTTGCTTCTCTCCTTGATTAGTTTCCATCCGTTGCTCCTTGTCCTGCTTTCAGGTGCTTTGGAAAATAGCTTGACTCCCTCTTCTTTGTGGCAGCCCCTGAGATATTGGAACACTGCTATCATGTCCCCCCTCGTCCTTCTCTTCCTTAAACTAGACATATCCAATTCCAGCAGCCGTTCCTTATATGCTTTAGCCTCCAGTCCCCTAATTATCTTTGTAGCTCTTCTCTGTACTCTTTCTAGAAAGAGTCTCAACATCTTTGTGGGCCTGCTCTGAAATCTTACTCCCGGGAGGGGTCCTTTTAACGGGATGGGGGAGCCGGGCAGCGAACACCCAGCAGCTGATTTTTATGGGAAGGGACCCTTGCCCGGTTCTTCCTCTTCCCCACCCGACCCCAGCTGGAAGGGGCGGCTGTGGAAGCGGCCTTTCGGGACAGGCAGGAGTCGCTGAACGCATGCGGAAGACCAGGCCGAGCCGCCAATACCTTGGTCAGGTCGATGCCCGAACCTACGAGCGGCAACCCGTCCTCGTCCATCCCGGCGACCTCTCACAGTGTCGAGACCGCGGCTGCAAACCTCCTCCCCAACCATCCCTCGCGACCTCTCTCACGGGAAGCTATTCCGACATCCCCTTCGCGGCGTCAGAGCTGAAAGAAGGGCATCATGGGAACTGTAGTTCAAGTGCTGGAAGGCGGGCTTCTTTAGACGCCAAGGCTTCCTGATGTGTTATTCCCGCTCGCGGCTCCTTCTGCAATACGTGGCTTTTGCTGCAGTATTAATTACGAAGCTACTGACAGTGGTTCTCCGCTCAAACCGTATCAGTAAAGATAGACGGACTGGAAAAAACTTCAGAACCGCCAGTGTAAAAAGAAAATCGTTAGACGTTCAGTTGTTAGGACGATATGTTATTGTAATTTCGACACAATTCTTTATAGGGTGCAAAGGAAAAGTGAATTTTGGGCCAGCCAGCTATATGAAAAATAATATTCATGACCCATGTTCCCATTCTGAACGTTTTTCCTAAGGTTTTTTAAAAAATATCTTTGTATCCTTTTAAAAAAAAGGATGGCAAGTTTCAAGTTCCAGTAAGGAAAAAACTCACACGCTTCTAATAAGTGCCTCCCTAAAGGAGCATTTCCTTGATGTACATACAGATAAGACAGAGAAAGAGTATTTCTTTTTAATTCTTGCAGGTCAGTATCTATTTTGTAGGATGTACATCAGTTCTGCAGGTTTAGATTCAAATCAGTAACCTCTTTCTAACTTTTCAACTGTTATGGGTGATTATCACCTCTGACATCTTTTCCAGTGAAATTAGTCAAATATATCAGGTAGAAAAATGTTTTCGGACAATTATGCTGACAACAGGGACTTCTTTTCTCAATATCTTTAACAAAATCTGGAAGTTTCAAAATATTACTAAAACATGATCTGTAAGCCACCAACTTGCCTTATTGAGAAGATTGGCAGCATATAAATTCAATCAATCAATCAATCAACCATTTCATCCTGCATTAAAACTGTTTTTTTTTTTTTAAAATCAATGAGACAAATAATTTGAAATGGTCTACAATTAGGAGTGGTGTCTGTAGATGGGGGTTTGTTTGGTGGTAGACTGGCTCAGATTTTCATATTTTGCTCTACCAACTGGATGTACTGTGACAGGTCCAAACTTTCATCTGAGCGAGGTTAACATCCATAGTCACATGGAAATGCATGTAGGCATAAATAAATGGCTAATTGATAGACATTATCATCAAAGAAAACATCTTTGCACACAGAGAAACAAACTACCCTATACACAGTGTATACTTTTCAAAAAGTCATTGATCAAATTTCTCAATGGAGACTTTTTAAATTTAGCAGCTATGAAATGAAGTTTGTTTTATATACATTGCCAGCTGATTAAAAAAAGATGTCTTGATGGCCACTACAATGGATTTTAAATGGGATTCAGTGTATTTGTGGAAGACACAACTATCAATGACTCTTGAATTTGAAGATTTAGTATTCCTCCAAATTGGTGGCACCATGTTTCTGAAGGAGAATTCTTGGGATCAAATTAAAAGTCCCTAAGCCAAATATATCTTCTGTGGAAAGTACAACTCAAGCCATTAAAAATGTAGGTCAAGGAATGCTTTAGATGCTGGGGAAGATGGTGGGCAAGTACAGTTCTGAAAAAAACAAAGTAATTCCCAACAAAAAAAAGTTTGTTCACAGAACTCTTGGTTCTTTCAAAATCCCATTGTCTTTGTAGTCCTGCTCCATCAGTTCATAGTTATGCCCTAATGCAGGGGTCCCCAAGCTGTGGGCTGCGGCCGTGAGGTGTTTGCAACTGGGTTATGGAAATGGCTGGCAAGCGTGCCCTTGCATCCTCACTTGCACAAGCAGTGGGTGAGCATATGCGCGTGCGCTCCATTTGTGTGCATGGCAAACGCACATGTATACTGCTTGCAGAAATGGAGCTGTGTGCGTATGCTTGCCAGCTGCTTGTGTGAACCATCCCCTTCTGGTCCGCAAAGCTGGAAACGCTGCCTTAATGGCCTCATAGCAAAGAGAAAGGAAGATGACCTTGACAGAATTATATAGTAACCATTACCTAGACTAAGGGGAATGAAACATTCCTTAAACCCTAGAAAACAATATTCAGAAGCTGCTCAGGCAAATACCTCCCTAATTCAATAGGATATGAAACGGGAGGACCAACATACTCAGACTTGCAAGGTTCTGTTATTATAACTTATCTCAAAAAAGTGTAATTCTGTTTTTTCTGTGGAGTTAATTTTCTGATTCTGGTCTATCTAGTAGAGCTGACACTGATCTCACAGCACATGATGTGTTATATCCAGTGAAATACCTGGCTGTTCTATCTATATTTTAATATGCATACGTCTATAAAACAGACTCCAACCCACCCTTCTTTAGGCTTGTCTCTGCCTCCAACAGTGTCAATAAACCAATTTGTGTTTTAATTAATATAGTGTTCTGGTCTCTGGTTCTAAAGCACCCCTAAAATTCCACAGCCAGTTGTGTGAGAAATGGGATGAATGGAAACATAGAAGCTGGAGTTTTGGTTCTGTGACAAGCATCAGACACTTCACACTGATGTGCATAATGGGTAAAATTGTCTCCCCTTCTTTTTGGGTCTGTGGAAATGTTCTGAGTGCCATCCTGGAGAACTGTGTTAGCAGCCTGTGATGAGATCATCTCAGGATATTCTCTAAGTACATGGAGGGTGGCATGTGGAAGTCCCAATGACCACGTGGGTGGGTGGGTGTCACCCATGGGGTAGAATACTGTTGCACATCCATGTTTTCAGTGTGAATAAGCCACTCTAAGCACCACAGCCACATTATGTTTTTTCTTGATTAGTTTGTGTCTTTAGTTCAAACAGACTCCCAATTTCCACTGCACTTTTAAATACTAAGGGGATATGAATATATCCTCAATATCATAGTGAAAACAAAACATTGGATCATGAAGGGCCTTAGCCTGATCCCCCAGGGCTGTTATGTTATCAAGCGCAGTGTTTTTAAAGAAGCATCAGCTCATATGTTTGTTGATATAGATGTAAAGTATATTTACATAAATTGGGATCTAGTTTTGGACCCAGAGTAGATCAACTCAAATCTGTGGAACTACTGAATAGCTAAACTATATTTAATTTGTAACAATTTAATTTGAAAATTATGAAAATATTAAGAATATTAGCAACTTTGATATAAAGTTAGTAATATTGTATAAAAAGTATAACACAAAGATAAAACATTTGAATACAAAAGCCAATAAAACAAAAAGAGATTTTTTAAAAAAGTATATCCTAAAATTAGACATAAATAAACTTTTATTTTTTATTTGAACTTTTTGACATTTGCTGATATACTCTCAGTAAAAAATAGTGAGGAAAAGTTATAAGCTGCAGGATGTTAAGGGCATATATAGATTCTGGAAATTAGCACAAATTATTCCAGATATCAGAAATATCGCTATATTTACATAGGTAAATTATTTTTTTATTTTGATAAATATTTTTGGAGCAAAATTGTTTTATTATTTAGAAGAAAATATAGTGTTATCTGCCAAACATGATAGATAATATTATATTGGAAACTATACACACAGACACACACGGGAAATGATACTGGTCACTTTTAACTATTTGAAATTAAAAACTCACTTTCTTCTGATATTTGCATGTTTCATATTGACCTGTTAAGCTATTTAGAGATACTGGTGTAGAAAATGTGTTTGTGATCTGAATGTATGAATCCATGCTAAAATAAAGAGAAATGCATGCTGAGCTTTGTAGTCTTTGACAATATTTTGCCTATTTTAACCTGTACAAAAATTGTAAAAAAGGATAATTTAAAGGTGAAATATGTGCAAAAAGAAATTTCCCAGGAAGTTTGATAGCATACTTCAAAAACTCTAACGGATAAGCTTAATTAAAACAGATGCACAAAATGGATTTTTGAAGTAGAGCCATTGATTACAGACCCATAAAGTCATTATTTTCCAGTTGAATTTTCTTAAAAACTTTCACACAGTTTTACTTAGCACACTAACAGCTTTTAGAAAGAACAAGCTGTTTGCTTTTTAAAGATTTGTTCAAGCTCTGAGGTGCAATTTTTTTGTTTTTTGACTGAGAATATATAAAAGGACACAGGGCAATCCATTGTGAGCAAGTAAAACGTTAACATTTGAATAAAATAAGTGCCCATAATATATATTTACAGAATATTTGTTTCACTTATTGTAGCCTTCTTATATTTGTGCAACATCAGATAGCTAATAAAGTCATAATTTTAATTTTCACGTGAAATGAAATATTAACACTGTAATTGAGAAAAGCATTTTTTGTAAACCTGCTTCATTAAAAACATCTCTTTGTGTCTGATTTGTATTATCTGTTTGTAAGAACTCTTCCCATCACATACTATCAACTTTCATATGAAATAAATAAATAATGTTTGAATTTTGCAGTTGTGAAAATTACAGTCTTTATTACAGCTCAATCTTCAAAAACATTGTGCAGTCCTAATCAGAATGGAAGCTTATGGGCATTTTTAATTTTCAAGCAACTAAAGCAGGCATGTCAAACTGCCGGCCTGTGGGCCGGATGCATCATACTGAAACCGCACCTACCCCATTGCCAGCAATGGGGGAAAAGTCGTGATACGTTGTGCGACGCCACGTGATGTCACGAGTTTGACATGCCTGAACTAAAGGATGGATTTTGCCCATTATTCAGCAACCTGAAAAAACTGACTTCTCATTTATCTCATTCTCATTTATCATGAACCGCCCCCCAAAAAAGGTTCTTAACATCTGTTAAAAAAAAGGTTCTTAACATCTGTTAAAAAAAAGGTTCTTAACATCTGTTAAGTATACAATTTAATTTCATTGTAGAAATTGACTACCTGTTTGTTACTGTTTTGGATTTGTCTTTTTTCTCAATAGATTCAGTTGTAAAAGTTAGCAGCCAATAAGTGAGGTTATTTATTGTAACCACATCATGCCTCGCTATCTATAGTAGCATAGCATTTCTTGGTATCACAGATATACACGTTCATATCAGGAATCAATTTGTATTAAAAATATTCACTTTTAGAGATTTTGCTATGCTTTGTCATTCCAGGCTGAGATGGGATATGAATGAACATTTTTAGCCACTCTTACTTTGCTGGTAATGATATGAAAGTATATATCTTTCCATATAGGCTATCTATTTTAACTGTTTCTCTTGACTGCACTTCTTTTAAACAAATGAAGATTTGCACAAGAGATTATTTCAAGAAGATTTGCACAGAAAACATTGAGTACAATGCCCTGCTAAATCCAGCTGCACTTCTAAAACTAGAAACAAAGTAGTTTAAAAACTTCAGAACTTTGTTCAAAAGTAATGTTTCTGTAAAAAAAAAAGTATAAAATAAGACAACTATATTACTTCAACTCTCCCCTCTCTTAATCATTATCTGATACTTTAAACCACTATAGAGTAGATATAGTTTTTTACATTTCAGTCACCCAAAAATATACTTTATGATCTCCTCCCATGGCACATAGTGGAAGAGTCCTGTGCCAGGTTAAACCAGATCCNGTATAGAAATAGAGTTACTAGTATTGACCTAAGGGGAAGTAGGATATATTAAAATAATAATAGATTAGTTATATGTATAACTGAGTTAATTATATTGAAATAATTTGAATTGTACAAATATGATTTTGTTTTGATTAATTGATGGCCTTGCCACCATGTAAAATAAAACCAATAAAAATTTTTGTTGAAAAAAAAAGAAATTTCAAAATACTCTTTAGCTGTTGGGCTGTAACCCAGCAATTATCACTGGAATTGGATATAACTTCAGAATTTCTAAATCCCAAGGCAGCTTGCTTCTAAATTTGAAACTAGAAGCTGAAAAATAATGATTTAGCAAAAAAATAAACTATACAAGTAAAAAAAAAAATCTACTGTTAGCACATGAGGGAAAAGTCCAAAATAAATCAAGATGGTCCTCCCAATCTTTTTTTAAAGATCTGACACTGGATATAGAAGCCAGCACTTTCATTTAGTTGTTTTACTGTTTTTCCACAGTAATACCTAAATTTCCCTTTATCATAGTCTATCCATTTTACATCACGTTCCAAATATAGTTTCCTCTGATAGTTAAACATTAAGAACTAACAGATGATGCTTGTAAACGTTTTGCTCTCTTGGTGACTAAATATTTCTGCTCGTTTTCTCTGGTAAATATGAAAATCAGCAAAATCAGTCATAATACATCATGGATATCTAAGAAATGCACTTATTATATGCTGTCTCTTTTAGCCTTAGAACTTGGAAAATCAGGAGGCAGACAGAAATGTCTGTTGCTAAATCAACGTATTGCTACGCTGAGATCTCTAGAAGTTCTATTATATTATTTACATTTGATAGAAGTAAAAGAAAGGTCTTCAAAATTTAATATTGAAAGAGAAATTTATAATTGAATTTGCTGCAGTGGAAATTTCTGAGTAGAAAAGCTATGGTGGGAAAGAGGAAAGGTTAACATAAAGGAAGTAAGATAAACATATAGGCAAAAATAGCTGGGTCTAAGAAAGGAAGAAGAGAAGCCATAAAAAATATACAGCTGTAAAAGGAAATGGCTAGCCAGGAAAGACAGGTTGAATTGGAGAATAGGAAAATGAGCTGAATAAGATAAGAGGAAAGGCACACTGAATTGAAAAGCAGGAAAAGAACTTATTGTTTAAAATGGGGACATAAACATCTACAGAGTTTAAAATAACCATTTAAATGTCTAATTTTTCTTATTATAATTGTATATGTGAATATGATTTAGTATGTAGCAGGAAATATGTAGGAGGCGGTTGGAAAGAGTGTAACCTCATAGTACCTCAGCCAATGGGGAAAGAGGAGGGATGTGGCGGCCGGGACAAGGGCTGTATAAAGGAGGATATTTTGGGTTAAAACTTTGAAGAGAACCAAGCTTTGATAGCTTCTCTCCCCGCTTATTGCAATAAATGAAACAAAAGGCCTTCACTGTGTCTTGGCTGGTTATTGGTCAGGCAAGCTTGCCTCTGGTCATGAAGGAAAGTGGCCAGGAGCACATAACACATTAAACCGAAGTATAAGCACAATGCTATTTTTATAGCTTCTAATAATCATTCTACCAGAAAGAATTTCATGAAATTCAAACTCTCTTATAAGGTACTACCTTAAATGATTCTTTTAACTGGTTCCCATTAGTCCTTTCTGGAAATCTAATCCACTGGACATGAATTAAATTTGTGCAATGCGCAAAATGTATAAGATGCAATACAAGATGCAAAATATATAGGCATGACTTTAATTCTCTTAATCCTTGAGTTCCTTTTGAGTGCAGAGGACTGAGGTTGAATAATTTATTCTCAAGTCTTTTCCAATAGTCTCAGCTTTACTTTCCAAATCTGTTTCATAATCACTTTAACTCATATGGAAAGCCAAAAAGGACAAATTTTACAGCACTATTTCAGGAAGACACAATCACAATGACACAAAGTTAATTACTAGTAATACTATATGCCTTAGATTGAACATCTTGCCTATTAAAGCCAGGTGAACTAGAATATATTTTATTATGCTCCAAATATCCTCAGCTTATCCCCTACAACCAGAATCTAAAAGGGATTTTCTTTTTAAGTTGCCAATTTCCGTGGCATTTAATACATTATTTTTTAAAACTGAAGCCATTACCAAGAACACTGTGCACTGCACCATGAGAATCTAATGTTTAAAAACAGTAAAGTTAAAAAAAAATCCTTACAAGTACGCCTAAGACTTTAAAGAGAGAGTGTCTAAAGTAGCTTTCTGAATTCCAGCCTATATTTTTTTTCCTTTTGACCATACAAATGCAGTTTTTCTTGAGATGTTCTGATAAAGTAGATTCAAAGCATATGAAGTCCAAGTGAGAAATAAATAAAAGAAAATTTCCCACAATGGATCACACTTGATTTGTCATGTAATCCTAAGTTGCTTAAGGACAAAATTGTACAATAATTTTTTAAAAAATGGATTTTACATCTTTGATTTGTCATACATTTACCTGAGGGTGGCCTAAATGATGAACTAGAAGTTGACTGATCATTTTTCCTGGATAGCCAGTAGTAGCGAACAAGTTTTCATTCACTCGGGACCATCTAAACACATAAAGAGAAACTTAACAACATTTTAAAATAATGTTCAATATAATTATGAAAGTCAAAATTAAACACTTCTGAATTTCATCATTTCATTGGTATATAAAATAGATCTTTTCCAGTGAATTCAGTGAATCATTTTCAGAAATCTATGCTACAGCTCTTGAAAATATTTTATACTGTATAATGTAGGCAAGATATTAAAGCAATCACATCTTTTGGAAGGTTTGTGCAGCTGTTAGAAAAGACTCCCCAGCTGTCAGTGTATCTAAGTGGCTTCAATTTTTGCTTGGGAATACAGGGAAGTGTTATCTATGCATATACACAATCATGGGACATTTTTTGAAGCATCTAAGTGAATCTTTCCAAAGACATAGCTACTTTAAAGTAGGATGCTTTTTCATACTGTCATGTGAAGTTCCCCTACTGAATGCTTTGCATAGGCCTAACGCTTGTGTATGTACATGCACTCATCTTTTGGCTCAGTGTAAAAGATACAATAATACAGGTAGTCTTCGACTTACAACAGTTCATTTAGTGACTGATTGAAGTTACAATGGCACTAAAAAAAGTGACTTATTACCATTTTTCACACAACTATTGTAGCATACCCACAGTCACATGATCAAAATTTGGACACTTGGCAACTGGCTCATATTTATGATGGTTGCAATGTCCTAAGGTCATGTGATCACCTTTTGTGTCCTTCTGACAAGCAAAGCCAATGGGGAAGCCAGATTCACTTAACAACCATGTTTACTAACTTAATTGCAGTGATTCACTTAACAACTGTGGCAAGAAAACTGGTAAAAATAACCAAAACTCACTTAACAAATGTCTCGCTTAGCAACAGAATTTTTGGGCTCAATTATCATAAGTTGAGGACTCCCTGTAATCAATTCCTCACATAAATACTGAATGTTTTGCATTGTATTTCATTCCTGCAAAACAACTACATTTTCCTTGGAACAGTGATTGCCCATGAGATAGTAATGTGATGCTGCTACCAAATATATATATATATATGCAACTTTAGAATACATCAGAAATATATAATACCAAAACCATGGGAAGTAATTATTTCATTCTATTGTACTGTGGTCAGACCCCACCTCAAGTACCGAACTGTGTGCAGTTCTAGGTACCATACCTTAAGAAAGTTTCAGAAAAAAACGTGACAGTTTCGGGGAAAGACAATTAAAACTTCAGGGACTAGAAAGCAAGTCTTGTTTATTTCATTACCAGCATTTTTATGCTGCTTACTCTGGCATCTCCAAGGGGTCTGCATCCTAAATCTGCCCTTTGGGACGTGAAAGCATGTAATTAAATTATAGGAATGCAAATTTTGGTTTTAATGTTTAAAAAGGACATGCAGCTGAACAGTGAAACCAGTTAACCTAAGATGTGATGCATTCTACTTAATTGTTATGTGCTCAAGCTGGAATGGTACTTTTCTAACATGCCTTAACTTGGATTCCTGCACTGAGCAAGGGCTTGGATATGACAGCCTTTCTAACTAATGTAAAAATTACTATACATTGTGCTAAAATTCTCCATTATTTCCTATTTCATCCCATTTTCTTAATAGACTTTCATTTTCTAACTAAGTCTTTTGAAAGCTGGCTAGTCTCTTAATATTTTAAGATTACAATTTTCAGAGTTCCCAGCCATAAAAATCAAGTGAGAAAGGTTAGGCTAATAGAAAGAGTAAAATATTAACAATTAATTTAAAATAACACTTCAAAGAAAAATTGCACGATTATCTCTCAAATGCAAACTATACCTGTAAATATTGGCAAAAGCCAAACCTTGTGGTCCTTCACCAATGATTAATGGAGAAGTCAGTTAATCAAATGCATCAATTAAATATGTATTTAAATAAAACTTACCTAAATAATCTGGCTCTATCTGCATGGACAGGCCTCTTATCCAAAGGGTAACTAAAAGAGAGAATAATTTCTAATAATAAAAATCATTAATTCCTGATGAGAAGTAGGTCATGCACAATTTGGACGGCATGACTTCATTCTAAGATAACAATCAGAAATACATGCTGTTCAACAACTTTATTTGTAAAAAAGGCTGTCACTTAAAAACCACAAAATGGTTGCTTTCCAACATAATTTTAAAAGCATTTCACATGGAAATTGCTTTTGAGAATATGTAGGCTTGAGTAACGTAGAAAAAGAATTGCTAGAAAAAGAGATATTTTTAATTCTCTTTACTCAATCCACATATACAAGGGAAATGATGCACAAAGCAAATAAATGCAGTGGAAACATTTTCCTGGCTTTATTTCTCAATATATGTCCATGTTTTCTTTTTCTTGGCTTTTTATATCAATATTAATTGCAAACACAAATTTAGGAAGTTATTTTGTAAATCGATAAGTGATTTCTAGAATTATTCTTTTTACATCTTTTTACATCATAAAAACTATATTAACTATGTTAATATTTCCCTGCAAATTCTAATCAACAGTTAAAGTGTAATAGTCTTTTACACTAAGGACTATAGTAACAGAAAATGACATCTCCTAAGCATTTCCTTTTTTCTTTCTACTTCTAAATCAAATAGGGCCTTAATAATAAATAATATTTTGTGCACGTTTTTTAAAAAGACAATAATCATCTATTATACTGAAATGTCTCAATAAAAATGCATGGAATATTTTATGATACCTAGATCGAGTAATGTCCCAGATAAACCAGTCATTTCCTGCAACTGCTCCAACTTTAAAAGTATTTTTTAGGCACCAGCTTGCTGACATTAGTGGTGTTTGATCAGTTGTGAGAGACAATATAGCCTGATGTGTCACAAGATCATAGAATCGAATCGTTCCATTCTTTTCTGCTACCATCAACTACAAATGAAAGATAACAGTCAGTTGCAATTCTTGGGATATGGCATTATTCAGACTTGCTTATCCTGTACACCTTATTGCAACAGTGCAATCAAGAATCATTATAATTAAGTTATGATTTTTCTATATGTCTAACATTCAAAAATGAATTCTAACTGAAGAAAGATCTTGGAATGAAGCCAACTCCATCAATTATCATAATTCAACAACTCATTACATCATAAACACAAAGTATGAGAAATATGGGAAGAACTAAAGATTAAAAGACATGACATCATCCAGCAATATAAATCCACAAAACAGATCATACTTAGATGAAGTGAATTCCAACTGGCTTTAAAATGCAGCAATAAATTAAACACGACAACCCAAATTTGTTCTCATGCCCATTAGACATTGCAAAAGGCCAGAAAGTCAGTCTTCTTTCAAATAAGTTATCAAGGAGACCTTTTTGATTACCTAGGGTTCATCAGGTCCTATCAGTGCTTACTTTTAAAGCAATCCCACAGATCCATTTATAACTCATGTTTTTCCTCTGAATACCTCTGCTGTTACTCATACTTGGGACTGCAATTTTATAATTTTGGAGAGCTATTTTAATTTTTATACCACTTGGCTTTAAAACTGATTTCATTTGTTTTATTTCTCTTACACAAGAGAAAGCTTAAAAACTGTCTAGACCAGGGGGGTAGGCAACCTTGGCTCTTTTATGACTCGTGGACTTCAACTCCCAGAATTCCTGAGCCAGCATAGCTGGCTCAGGAATTCTGGGAGTTGAAGTCCACGAGTCATAAAAGAGCCAAGGTTGCCTACCCCTGGTCTAGACCAAGCAAGTCAAACTGCCAGGGCGTGGGCTGGATGCGTCACGCCAAAACTGTGCCCATCCCATTGCTAGCAATGGGGAAAAAGTTGTGATACATCATGCGACGTCATGTGACATCGTGAGTTTGACATGCCTGGTCTAGACAGTAAATAAGGAAAGAGCATGGTAGGAAATTAATAAATAAATTCCAGGATCAAGATGCTTTGGAAATAATGAAGCTAGACCATTTTAATAATTAAATTATCATAGTATGATAATAGCTTTTTTTTTTTTTAAATCTTCTCAGGAGCATAGAGGAGCATAAGTGATTCTTCCCCAGTCACTTCACCTTTCTCCAATAGCTTAAACGATGAAGTAGGTTACTAAAGCAACATATAATGTCCCTTTAACTGCAAAGCACATTTTCAGAGTGTGAACACTGGAAAATTCTGAAATGCTTCAGTTTTATATACAATTATTGTAAGTAGCTCCCAGTTTGGTTGATACTTGCCTTGAATGCATCCTCAGGATGCCAGCCCACACTCATTCCAGGAGAACGTAGAACAAAATAAGCTCTTAAATGTCCTTCTAAATCCCAGACTCTAAACATAAAAAAGATTAGGGTTTAAGGAGGTAATAATAATAATAATAATAACAATAACAATAATAATAATAATAACAATAATAATAACAATAACAATAATAATAATAATAATAATAATAATAATAATAATAATAATAATAATAATAATAATAATAATAATAATAATAATAATAATAATAAAGTTGGAAGGGACTTTGGAGGTCATCTAGTCCAACCCCCTGCTCAGGCAGGAAACCCTATACCATTTCGGACAAATGGCTGTCCAGTTTCTTCTTAAAAACTTCCAGTGTTGGCGCATTCACCGCTTCTGGAGGCAGATTGTTCCACTGGTTAATTGTTCTAACTGTCAGGAAGTTTCTTCTTAGTTCTAGGTTGCTTCTCTCTTTGGTTAGTTTCCACCCGTTGCTTCTTGTCCTGCCCTCAGGCGCTTTGGAAAATAGCTTGACTCCCTCTTCTTTGTGGCAGCCCCTGAGATATTGGAACACTGCTATCATGTCCCCCCTCGTCCTTCTCTTCGTTAAGCTAGACATAACCAATTCCAGCAACCGTTCCTTATATGTTTTAGCCTCCAGTCCCCTAATCATCTTTGTTGCTCTTCTCTGTACTCTTTCTAGAGTCTCAACATCTTTTTTACATCGTGGTGACCAAAACTGGATGCATAACTGGATGCACTTGGCCAAGTGTGGCCAAGTGTTATACATTGTTATCCCTTCCTATGACAGTAAAGATCTGGACTTCTCATCCTAAATGCAGTTGACAGAAGATAGAATATGCATATATTAATATCAGTGGATGCTGATTATGAAGTTGACCAAAAGGAAAGTATATAATAGGAGAAAGCTATACTATATGTGCTCATTACAGCTAAGATCATAGCCTGTTTGTATTCTTTGAACTAAGGAGTTATGTGCATTCTTAATCTGCATACTGCACACAAATATAAATTAATATATCAAATTTACACCTTGTTTTGTGTGCTGGCCAACCACCACAGATAAAAATATAAGAGCAATATGAAAAGAATTCATCAAAATAATATAAATACTATTAAATTAAATAGCACTGAATTAATATATAATTAATAGCGTAATGGAGATTAGAACCCTTTTTTCTAAAGTACATGTCTGTGAAAACAAAGAGCATCTATCTGATTATGTAATCTGCAGACAAAGCCCTTTCTTCTGGTGCCAGAAATTTTGCCTTGTAGATTTTTCCAAGACAAATCAACACTTTCTCTGTGTTTATGTATTCAAAAATGAACTTAGTATAATTCAAGACAGTGAATTATTTTGGCAAAAGAATCAGGCCCTGTTCCCAAGCCAAAGAAGCAAAAGAGAACTGTGTCAATTTTACAGCTTATGACTTAATGCTTTAATCTGCTTTAAATTTAGTTGCAACATAAAGATCACATTCAGTTACAGAATATATTCAGAATACTTTCTTGCCTCTCTTCTGCTGCAACAAGTTCTGCTGTTCACCAAATACAAGTTTATACTTCAAATATGTGCAGGCAATAAAAATAAATTGATGTATAATCTATACATCCTGATACTGCTATAAATTCATGGTCATTATGAATTATGGGAACAATATTGATCTCATTACAGATTAATGTTATCACCTATGCTCTGAAAAGTTAGAGTATTAATGCTATTGTTGTGGGGTGACTTTGAGCCGGTCACTCTCTCTAGTTAGTACAGTCTATCACACAGAGTTGTTGTGAGGAAAATAGGATAAGAGAGTACAGGTAATCCTTGATTTAGAACCACAACTCAGCCTAAGTGTTTCTGTTCCTAAGTGAGACATTTGTTAAGTGAGTTTTGCCCCATTTTACGACTTTTTCAGATACAGTTAAGTGAATTACCGCAGTTATTAACTTAGTAACATGGCTGTTAAGTGAATGTGGCTTCCCCATTGACTTTGCTTATTAGAAGGTGACAAAAGGGGATCACATGACCCGGGACATCGCAATTGTCATAAATATGAACCAGTTGCCAAGTGTTTGAATTTTGATCACATGACCTTAGGGATGCTGCAATGATTGTAAATGTGAAAAATTGTCTTAAGTCCCTTTTTTGAGTGCCGTTGTAACTTCGAACACTCATTAAATGAATTGTTATAAGTCGAAAACTACATGTATTAAGTATATTCACCACCCTGAATTATTTATAAAAATAATAAAAGACAAGATATATAGAGATAAATAAATAAAACATAACAACATGAAACCACAGCTGCCAGTTCTTCATGCGCATCAGTTATTCCTAAGAACCTAGGTTGTCGTAATACAGGGGTGTCAAACTCAATTTCATTGAGGGCCACATCAACATTTTGGTTGCCCTCAAAGGGCCAGGTAGGCGTGGCTGGGTGGTCACGGCTGGGCCGCCACAACTAGGTGGGCAGTGGGTAGAGGTCAAAATGGGAAGCCCGTGTCTACTGTTTGTTGTCCATTGACCACAGCGACTCCCCACTATTGTCTTCGCACCTGGACTCTGGCCTGACGCCTAACGGGCAGTTTGGCTGCCACTCCCAACCACGTGCCAAATCTATTAATAATGTGATTATTATTATGTTCTACACCAGGGGTACTCAACCTTGGCTCTTTTATGACTCGTGGACTTCAACTCCCAGAATTCCTGAGCCAGTATGGCTGGCTCAGGAATTCTGGGAGTTGAAGTCCACGAGTCATAAAAGAGCCAAGGTTGACTACCCCTGTTCTACACTGTAACAGAAGCACAGGGTTTCTGTTACATGAAAGGAGGATGCAATAGATATCCTGCATTTTTAAAATGTCAGTCAATCAACAAATCTTGAAGAAAAAGATAAAATGAATGAGTTAAAAAAAAACCAGATCAGTACAGGGAATTAAAATGCTGGACAGATTTTATACTAAAACAGTTTAAAATTGTGCTAATAGATAATCAAGGCCAGATCTTTAGTCACATACTTCATGCATATCCAAACTAATTTGGGAATAATTTTTCTAAACTGGATGAGACTCAGTAATTAGCTCAGTTTTCAAGACAACCATAAATGGAGATGATAGTATTGCTTTGCTATTTTTCCTCATTAAATCATAAGAATTCATAATGCTTTGTGGATCATCCTTAGCAAAAAAAAATTTTTTGTAGAGACATAGTTGGATTTGAGATCATTTGATTCACAACAATGAGCTATGTATTTCTATATGCTGTTTTTATCTGTAAATCATGTTATTCTGGGAAAAACATACAACTTTTTAAAAAGTGAAGTACATATGAACCATTTGCAAAGATGTTTTTGTTTATATCATGATAACAATATATTCCACGAGTTTGAATGAGACTCTTCTAAGTAAATGTTTGGAATTTCACTATTACAGGTTGCATTGGCTGAGACCCAAAGAGTCATGTCAGCTAATTCTTTGTGAATACATGTTATAGTGCTTTGGCAACCTAATTTACCAGTTTGTTATAAAGCAGAGTGTGACCACTTTAATGCTAATATCAGTTGTTTTAAAGATCAGAACATTACACATGGATAAAAATATGAAAGCAAATAAAGACCAATGCTAAAAAATGTATGTAAGTAGTCAAATGACTGGAAAATTTTCCATAAAGGCAAAATCACTACATTATTTTTGTTTTTAAAACATGCTACTCTTTAATTAATAGAATATTCGATTTCTGGCATTACTAATGACACTATATTATCTTGGGTACATCCTCATACCAGTAGAGTAATTGGTACATTTGTATTGAATCATGAAATTAATAAGTTAATTTTTATATTCACTCAGTTAAAAAAACAGTAGTTTCAATATAGTTCTGCATTACTCTATTACTGTAATAATGTAAAATAAGGGACAAAGGCAGAGATAATCTTCTAAGAGACAGAAATTAGAAACAGAAAATACTGCATATCCCACTGCCAACGAGTTGAAACTAATTCTGAATGTTCAAGATGACTCTCAGAAAATTCTGTCTTCGCCAAGACACAGGATGGGAAGAGCAAGATCAATTTAAAATATTCTTGTCCTTCATTCGTATAGCATGAATCCATTCAAACTCTCCCATTGAAAACCCATCACCCAAACAAATAGGCCAAAAATAAATCATCTATTTGCTACAATAATCATCCAAATTCTAGAATTGTATGTAGCTTCTAAATATTAACTAAAATATACAGTATATGTAGAAAAATTCTACAAAAATATCAATTTTCTACATGTTCAATTTTTTCACATTTATATACATAAATAATTAAATAGACATAAATAATTAAAGTAATATTTCACTAACAGAATATATACCTGCATGTGTGGTCATCACTCACACTTGCAATTTCTTGACCTTTAGGTGAAAATACCAAATCATTAATGTAATCTGAATGGCCTTCCAAAGTCTGTTAATAAAAAGGAGAAATATATTTTATTATGGAATTAACACAAAGATGGCATTTTAAAAGAAGTAAAATCAATCAAGGTAAAGTTAAGGCACCATTCTAAGGCATAATAAGGAGAAGATAGCAAGATTAGGATCAAAATATAAGATCAAGACCCAAGTCATTTAGGCTGAGGACTTTGCTGGTTGAAACTATATTTTGAATTGTAGCTTTGAGGGAAATAAAATCAACATGACTTTAGTTTTGTAAAGAGACAATCTGATATGTTTAGATCTAGTTTATTCAAACTGATATCAGTGAACTATAATATGAATTACACTGCAATAGCTTGCACAAACACTAATTCCATACTAAAGCCGTCTTTGTTATTGGAAGCTTCAGGCCCAATGGTAAATAGATCTAAGTTACTAGAATGGTTAAATAACACTTCTTTCAGGTTTCTGTCCCACTATCCACAGGAATTGGCAAGTGCCATTATTTCATTCTTGCTTGGATCTCTTAACTGATTTCATAGCACATGCTACAGAACCAGTATACCAATGCATCATAAATGCAGAATTTGGGTGCAATAATTCTTTTGCATGCTGGGTTTTTTGTTACATTGTATCTAATTTTACAAGTAAGGTTCAAATGTTCAGAGACATACAGGTTATCCTCGCTTAACATCCATTTGTTCAGTGACTGTCCAAAATTACAACGGTGCTGAACAAAGAACTTATAGCTGGTCGTCAAAGTTCTGGCTGTTGCAACATCTCCCATAGTCGCCCGAACAAAATTCAGGTACTTGATAACCAGCTCATATGACAAACTGCAATTTCTCACAGTCATGATTGCCATTTGCAACTTTTCCTGCTGGTTTCCCACAAACAAAGTCAATGGGGAAGCAAGCAGGGAAGACTGCAAGTCTTCCTATCGGCTTTTCGTTGCTTGCATGCACTGTGCCCTCCTCCCTTTTGCTCTTTCTGCACTCACGCTACTCTGCAACACTGCCCTTCACCAACTCATGCAAGGTCTGCCCTGGGCCTCTTTCACCCTCCTGTGGTATCCCACACTGCTTACCTTGGACTCTCATTGTTTCCTGCTTTAATAACCTGCATGTTTTAGGATTATGATGTCAACTGGGATTGCCTAAATTGCCATCGCTAAGCGATATGGTCACATATCATTGTGCTTTCTGAGCACTTTGCTTAGCAATGGCAATCCTGGTCCCAACTGTCATTGTATCTTGAAGAATATCTGTATTGCTAATTCCACTGTTCTGTTCATTTTTATTCATCCTGTCAAATCTGAATGGTTATATGTTTCGTTTATATTTAAATTGCTGCTGACTGCTTCTATATAAGGAACCATTTCAAATCCAAAGACCTATCACTCTGAGCTTGCGTTAAAAACACTCATACTGAAAATCTAAGAACTCTGAAGTGAGGAATTACAGTATCACGACTGAAATAGTTCACTTTATCAACACTGAAAGCCAAAGTTTATCTCCTTCGGCTATTGTATATAACTAAGGAAGAGAGAAAATATATTTTGTCCATGGTATTACTAAAAAACTGGAGTAAGAAATCCTTGCACATCACTCAACGATGTAACAGAATATCCTGTTATACTTTCTGTTCATCTTTTTTTATTTATTAAATTTATATGCCACCCATCTCGCAGTTCAAGGTAATTCTGAGCAGCTTCTTAAATATTCTTAAATATGTCATATAGTTAATTTCACAATTTTTCATAATTCAATCTACTTTAGATTTTATAAACATAACTGATTTTATTTAAAAGGTGCACTGAGAAGTATAAAATGAAACTTAAGTTTTGAATTGCTATCATGCTTATTAACACAAATGTGCTACAAAAATGTCACCTAGAATCATCTTTTAAAATACAAGATACAACGCAATTGTTTACGTCTGTTCAAAATTACTGAATGCAAGGCATTGCAATGCAATTTAATTTGCAATTTAAATTGGTTTGTATACAAATAAGTATTTAAAGCCACTTTGTTATTATAATTTATTTCTTCTTCTCACCTTATATTCATTCTTATCTTTGAGGTCCGATGTGAATAACCTTAACTTCCTATCAGCAGCAGCAGTACAAAATCTAAGATAATGAAACAGTTCACTGTAATTTTGTGTAACAGTTGACATGTTATGGATTTCCTCAAATTAGTTTTATCTTATCATGAAAAAGTACATCATTTAATTATTAAACTTCTGCAATATAGGTAGTCCTTGTTTAGCAACCACAATTGGCCAACCATCTTGGTATATGACGATGGGCTTATGACCACTTCCCCTTTGGTCACCAAGTCACTGTAGTCATTAAACAAAACATCATGTGGCCAAAACTTGTAATTTGACTTCTACATTCTACATTAACTGATTGTTCCAAGCTGA